TATCCTAGCCTCTGTTTCCAAACACCTGCTCTAAGCAGTCAGCTTGCATGGTCAGCTCTTATAGGAAATCCTTAGTCACTGAAGTCAGATGAATCTGGCATAGACACATGGCACCTCTCTGACTTCACACTTTCCAGCAAACACAGGGCACCTCACTAAGAAAAACGAGATGGCTACAGGCACCTGACATTATTAGTTTGCAAAATTACTATTTCTTTATGCTAGTATAAGCATCACATTAGGTATGATTGAATCAAATGACCCTTCTTTGGCTTTTGTTACTGTTGTTGTTTGTTTTGTTTTGTTGGGGGGGGGGGGTCTTTTGGTACCGTGAATCGAACTCACAACCTCACACTTGCCAGCAGGTGCTGGTGCCGCTGAGCTATATCCCCAGCCCCCAAATGACCCTACTTTGTTAAAGACTTTCCAGCTGGACATTTTGATTTCTGAGATTACTTTTTAATGTTTTTTGCCATACTTCTTTTCTGATAGAGTCACTCAACAAAGAAATAGCCAGGCAAGTATGGTAGTGCATTCTGCAGTCCCGGCACTCTGAAAGGCTTCAGCAGACAACAGGCAGCTCAGGCTCAACCTTGGCTCCTTGGACTAAGTAAGGCCAAATCTCATAATGAAAACTGTTTGAAGATTTGATAAAGGCCTTCAGTTTGTCTACCATTTCTGCAAGAAGAAAGCATGAGCCCTAAGAAATTACCTCTCCTAATTGAAGACAAAAGTCCATACAATGATTGATTTAAACTTGATCTTCCTAGCCCTTTAATACTTTGGATTCTACCTCAGAACACCCACAAAGCCATTCTCCTATCCCAGCCTCTGTTCCCACACCACCGGCTCTAAGCAGTTGGCTTGGGTGCAGTTGGGACCCAAAGGGGAAAAATGTCTTCCTACTAGAATGTTTAAAAACAAAGAATAAAAATACTGAAATTGAAAATTGATAGTAACTGTTTTACCTGCTCTTGAAAATCAAAATGAAGTAAATCGTCTTTTCTAGTAAGTAACTGCTAGATGAAGCCATGATAATTAACTAGCTCTTCCCTATCATGTGTAGCTTCTGTAACACCTTTGGATGCTTTGTTTTCTTTAGCAGCAAATTTCTCCATCATGGCTCAAATCACAAACTCTTGAAAGGTCTCTACATAATGTCTCTCTTAAGTCATGAAGTAATGAATGACTTTCCTTTCAGCAGGTCCCGTTTCACTAATCTGAGGTTAGATGTCTCCACCCATGATCTGTGTCTTTAAACCACACCATCCTAACACTTTTCCCTGTCATTTGGCAAAGACTACACTATGAAAATTTTTCATCTCCTATCTTCTTTTTTTTATTTAAAGAGGAAAAAAAAGAAAGGTAATAAAATTTAAAAAAACAAAGCAGTAAAAGGGTACAAATAATACAGAATTTCAAGGAAAAAATACAGTATGATATCACTAGTTAATAGGTTACATATTGTCATCTTTAAAATAGTAGTCCAGTTTATAAAATTAAAGCATGTATAGTGAACATTCATACAATGAGATTGCAGACAGTGCCGATCAATGATCTAACAAAAGTTCAGTGATATGGATTTCCATCCTACACATTCAAACATACATGCAATTATATCCCTTAGACCACCTTCCTTTCCTCTCTTTTTAATAAAAATTATACTTTTTGTGTTTTTTTTACTCCCACAATTCTTATTAATTTTTTAGAGAGAATAAAACCTAATGTGGCTAAACAAAACAGAGTCAGTTAGAACAAAGGGATGGGCATAGTACATGATGTAAAAATAGAATATCAGGTGTTTAGAAGAGGTAGTATGCAAAAAAGGTTTACTAATACGCTACATCACATTGTCCTGAAAAGAATCAGATTTTAATGTACTATCAGACTTTTAAAAGGAAATCTAAAAGTATGACAATATAAGAAGAAATTGTACCTTTATTTAAAATATATTGAGTTGAAATACCTAGACTAGGAGACTTTTGGTACAAGACAGGTGTATGTCCATAAAAAGCAGATATATTTCTGAATCTTTTCTATCTGCTACATTACGAGGCTAAATTAAATGTTTAAATGTTTCTGAAGGCAAATTACACCAAGTTATCTATAACTGTAGAAAATGTTCATAAAATATATAGATCTTGGCATAGTTGAGGTGAGACAGAACAGGGCCAGAGAGAACAGATCTGCACTAAACATTCAAATGAATAGAAAGTTTTCAAATGCTCTTTCTGTACATGATAGAAAATAAGACAGAACTTGCTACCTCATTAAAAATATAGACATCAGAAAGAGAATAACTGGGCCAACTGAAATTTCCAGTTTTAGCTTTTTGAAGAATCTCCACACTGATTTTCCTTGTGGTTCTACTAGTTTACATTTCCTGCGGCAGTGTGGAAGGGTTTCTTTTTCCTCACAGCCTCACTCACCAGAATTGGTTGTTATTTGATTTTTTTCTACTTTTGTTGTTGTTGTTTTGATTTCTTGATGATGGCCATTGTTTCAGCATGAGACTGAATCTCAATTACTATTTTAATTAGTATTTCTCAAAGGGCCAGCAATGTGGAGCATTTCTTCACATAGTTATTGGCCATTTGTACTTCTCCAGTGAAGTATCCACTTATTTCACATGTCCATTTGTCGACTGGGTCTTTTGTTGGGGGGGGGGGTAGATTTTTATCTTCATATATTCTAGGTATGATTCTGTCGGAGGAATCTCTGGGGAAAAAGTTTTCCTTTTCTGTAGATTGTCTTTTTCTCTCTGTTGGTTATTTCTTTTGTTGTGCAGAACCCTTTTAATATGATCCCATTGGAAAAAAAATCTGATCCCATTGGTTGTTTCTCAGAACTATTTCCTGCACATATGGGGTTCTGTTCAGAAAGTCATTGCCTGTGCCTATGACTTGAAGAGTTTTACCTATCTTGACTTCTAGCATTGTAATTTATTCTGAATTGAAATTGAGTGCTCTGATACAGTTTGTTTGCTTTGCATTGTTTTCTTTTGTTCTGTTTTGCTTTGTTGAGACAGGATCTCACTATGTCATGCAGGCTAGCCTTGAACTCGCTTATATAGCCCAGCTTGGCCTCAGACTCACAGTGATCTTGCACTCCTGGTTCAGCCTCCTGGGATTACAGGTATGCATCATATGCTTAAATTTCTTAGGTCTATTTAACTTTAGTTTATACACAGAGAGGAGAGTCTGGATCCTGACTTCTATATGAACACCACCATTTATTAAACAGACTATTTTTCCTCTAGTGTATGTTTTTGATACCTTTGCCAAAGATCAGATAGTTATTTCTGCATCATATTTCCTGTTGCAGTGATCTCTATGTCTATTTTTTTGTGCCAGTAACATACTGCTTTTATCTCAATAGCTTTGTAATATGATTTAAAATCCAGAGCATGATACTCTTTTGCCAAGGATAGATTTTGCTATTCAGAGTCTGTTCTAGTTCCATATGAACTGTAGAATTACTTTTTCCAATTCTGTGAAGAATGCTGTTGGAATTTTTTTTTTTGGGGGGGGGAGGAAAGGTTTATTTCTTACAGTTTTTGGAGGTTTCAGTCCACACTCAGTTGGCTCCCAGGCAGGTGGGCATGGCTGGCCCCCCTTTCATGATGGCTACAAACAGCAAAGAGGAACACCTTCTTAGTTTAGCCCACTGCAGCCCTTCCAGGGGGAGAACTAGCAGTGTCTCCTGAGATCCACGCCATGCTGGAACTTAGGACTCTGGGAATCCAAGCCAGCACTTCCCCTCCCTGGTAAGTGGCGGTAGTTTAGCCCACTGCAGCCCTTTGAGGGGGAGAACTAGCAGTGTCTCCTGAGATCCACGCCATGCTGGAGCTTAGGACTCCTAGAAGCCAAGCCAGCATCTCCCCTCCCTGTAAGCGGAGGCAGGGTGGCTGTTGGAATTTTGATTGGAATTCCACTGAAGCTGTATGTCAATTTTAGAAGGATAGCTATTTTACTATATTAGCTATGCTTATCCAGAAATAGAGGGTATTTTTTTCATTTTCTGATGTCCTCTTCAATTTATTTTTTCAGAATACTGTACTTTTCATTATAGATGCCTTTTACTTACATTAATTCATAAATGTTTAATTTTTGGTGCTATCAAATATGATATTTATAAACAATGGAGGACTACTCTGCCATAGAGAAACATAAGCTTGAGCCATTTGTAGGATACTGCTCTCAGTGAGTTCATTATTAGTATGCAGTAATGTTCTTGATGTTTGTGTATTAATTTTTTATATTACTATTACTAAATTTTTATATTGATTCTAAAAGTGTTTGGTGTATTTTTAGGGTCTTCTATGTACAGGATCACATCATATGAAAATAGTGATAATCTGACTTTTTCCTTTCCCCTACGTATCCCTATAACTGTGGAACTCGTGAGTGCTAAACCTTGGAACCAGCCCATATGTCTTTCAACACATGAATGGATAAATATAATATGATATTTATAAACAATGGAGCACTGCCATAAAGAAACATAAGCTTGAGTCATTTGTAGGAAAATGGATGCACCTTGAGACCATAACGTTAACTAAAATAAATCATACAGAATCCTAAAGATCACATCGTTTCTCTTATATTGTAAACCCAAAGTAAAAGTTAAAAGCAAAATAAAAGATACATAATAGGAAGTATGACAAAAGATTGTCCTCAAAGGGAAAGGAGATCAAGAAATGAAGGGAGACAGGAGGGACAAAAAGGATTAGAGATGAATAAAAGAAATTGGGACGTGATATTTACATGCACAGACTTCACACAGGCATGTAAACATGATGTATTGCAAACATGTACAAATAAAATAAGGGGAATACTGAGATAGATGGGGAAGAATGGAAAAGGAGATGAAAAACAAATTAAGATGTACATGTACCATCATCTTATAACAAATATACACATTATATATTACATACTAAAATAAATATATATACTAATGAACAAAACCTTTTATGTCCTCATTCAAATTCTACTTCTTTGTTAACAAAACATTTTTCTCTGAAAGATTTTCTTAAAGGAAACTTTGACATCCTTATTCCTCAAACTATAGATTAATGGATTTAACATAGGTACCACAATGGTATAAAACAGGGAAGATACTTTCCCTTGATCAAGGGACAAAAGGGTTGGTGATTTGAGATACATGAAAGCCCCAGAGCCAAAGAAAAGAAGAACCACACTCATATGAGTGCTGCAGGTGCTGAAGGCCTTGGATGTTCCCTCCGTGGAACGAATGTGAAGAATGCTAGACAGGATGAGGGCATAAGAAATGAAGATGGTGACAATAGGTATTCCAATGTCAATGGCCACAACACAGAAGACCACCAACTCATTTGCATAAGTACTGTTACAGGAGAGCTCAAGGAGGGGAAGGATGTCACACATAAAATGATTGATGAGGCTGTGAGAGCAGAAGGTCAGACTCATTATGCTCCCTGTGTGAGCCATGGCCCCAGTGAAGCCCATCACATAGACACCTACCAAGAGATGTAAACACACCTGGGGAGACATGGTGACCATGTAAACCAAAGGTTTGCAGATGGCCACATAGCGATCATAGGCCATTGCTGAAAGGACGAAGGACTCAGAAATGACAAAGAAGCAGAAGAAAAAGAGTTGAGTCATGCACCCTGTATACAAGATTGTGTTCTTCTTTGAAATAAAATTCATCAGCATTTTAGGGACGATGGTAGTGGAATAAGATAAATCTATGAGGGAGAGGTTGAAAAGGAAAAAGTACATGGGGGTGTGTAGGTGAGAGTTCAGTGCTATCAGGATGATCAGGCCCAGATTCCCAAGTACAGTAATCAAGTAGAAATCTATAAACAGGAAGAAGAGGGGAATTCGAAGTCCTGGCTCATCTGTTAAACCTGCAAGGGTGAACTCTGTTACGGAAGAATTCCTGGCTGTCATCTCCTCTTCAGAGTGTTATCTGTGGGATCAAGAAAAGAAGATCACTTTAAGACAAAGAAATTTTGTAACAACCTTTCTGTATGCATCCCCTATTCTTGAAAAAGGCATTCACAAAATAAAGAAGACTTTTCCTATTTGCTAGTGGCAGTACTAGCAAACCAGCTAGCAAACTAGCAATTGACATTAACTTCTAGAGTTGCACACAGCACTAGAACAAGTCATTGCTTCCAGAGAAAGAGCTAGTGCTGCTCTAAAAGGATCACCACACACCAGCTGGGATCTCTTTTGAGGGTGGTCTGTGACAGCACACAGTAAATCTGTGCTTTCCCCTCTGGACTCTGCTTCAGTTGCCACACCTGGGCCTGTTAGCTATCCCGACAAGCAAACATTACCATGGGTGTCAGTCATGTTTTGAATTAAAATGTCAGGCTGTGTTTTTGTTCTTCTTGTTGTTTACTACAAGATTTTTAAAAGTATATTTCAATTAAAATATTTTTAACTAACACAGAGGTAGTGTTTGCCCAAGATCTCTTAGCTCAAGTAGCTGAAGATTTAAGAATAATTTTTAGACTGATATATATTCAAGCATTTCTGTTGGAGGCTCTGTTCTAAGAGCTTTGGGATATTTTACAGACCAAAAAAAAAAAATCCAAGATGAGGGATCAAGGCCAAAGCTACAAAAACACTAGACTTCACCCCAAGGATCTTTGACAGTCTGGCTTTTACAGTTTTGCTTTTGTGATCACCATGTTACATCACAGACCAAGGACAGGCAAGCACTCAACTTATTTAGAACTGTGATGATATTCCCTCCTGACTCATCCAAATTTTCCTGGGAAGAACAAAGACCTGGCTAATAAAAAATAACAGTTTTTTTGCTCAGAGCCCTCCCCTCCCAAACTGAATGAAAGAACCAGAATCTCTAATTATTACGGGTAACCCTTTCTGCCCTAAAAAAACGTGATTTACATTTGTTAGTTTACTCTAGGGCACTTCTGACTTCCAGAAAGGAGACTGCATTTGTTCCTTTCCATACCCATAAGGTAACAGAAGAATAAACACATGATTCCCAATTACAAGCTCTCAGTGACCTTGATGGTGTCAATCTGACTGGCATGGGAGCCACCTGGGACATTGATGAAACACATTTCTTGATTCTGAGCAGGTCATGGATGTGTAAACTTGTGTCTGTTTGATCCCTGGCCTCTCTCTCCTAGCATTGTTCCCCCACTCTGCTTCCATGCAGCTTCACTCCCCGTGCTCTTCTGCCATGTTTGTGACATGAAAGCAACTGTCCATGAACTGTATCTCTTGAAACCATGAGCAAAATAATCCTCTCTTTACTTAAGGTGTGTTTGTTAGGCATTGTGTGTCAGTGAAGGTGAAGCTCACAGTACAGTAGCTAATAGAGTGCCCTTAGAGTGACTCCTTCCTGGCAAGATCCAAAACACTGTGTGCATGTGCATGTGTGTGTGTGTGTGTGTGTGTCCTAGATCATTTCTCAGGACAATTAAACCCATAGAATAGGTCACTTCCTCATATAGAAGATATTTTTCAGAGTCCTGCATTGTGCATAGGTCTATCCTACTCAAATCCTTTGTCTTAACTCTACATCAATCTACCTCCAAAGGCTTCAGACTCACTAAAAATCCATAAGGTAAGATCTTTGTCTTCTCAGACCTGATAGTCACTTATAGAATAATAAATAATATCCAATAAATTCAGCTTTAAAAAAGAGAAAAGGAATAAATGATGAGTCAATAAAGATAGTACAAAGGGTTAATATGATTTAGAATTGAATATTAAATAATTTATTCATATTTAAATTGATTCCAGAAATTAATTGTGCTACTACCACTTCAATAGTAAAAGAATACTTCATAAAATCAAACATACTCAGAAATACAAAGTAAAAATTTGACATATAGGTACTAAAGAAAAGTACTTTTAGTAGAAGCAGATTCATGTAAGACCTATGTGTTGGGATCACCAGACAAACCTTTAAAATACTGTGGCTTTTTAAAATTCCAACAAAATAATGGTTTAGTAGCCAAGTTGAATTTTCAGTCAGAAAGAAGAATTCATTATGTTGACTTAATAGCAGAGTAACCAAAACCAAAGGATCAGTGAAGGCAAAACACAACAACAGAAGTTACCCGTACTAAATTTAAATAAGACAATTTGAAAGAAAGAACATAGTCATCACAGCTTTTTGATAGTGCTAAGTAGTCCAATATATGTATAATCAGAGTTTCAAATACTCAACTGAATGGCAATAATGAAGGAACATTTTAAAATAATAGATCAAAATAACTCATTGATTAAATTTTATGAACCACAGAATCAAAATGTTCTGGAAGCTATAAGCAAATGACCAAAAAAAAGGCACTTTTTAATCAACTACTGAAAATCACAGAAAAGGAGAAACAACCTTAAAAGCAACCAAAGATCACATCAAAAGATGAGAAGAAAAGGAAATAATTTTAGATGAAGGCTCAGATTTGCAGAAAGAAGTTCATAGCAGTGTAAAAGGTATGCATGTGGTATACGATTTTTCATAATTTTTTAATTTCTATTTTTACTAGTATATGTTAGCTCTTTGATTAAATCAATAGGAAAAGTATTCATCCTGGTTTCATAATATATAAAGAAGTAAACTAAAAATGATAATAGCAAAAATATAATGTAATAATACAAATAAAAAATGAGGAACAGTAAAATTTTCAGTAGAAGTTTGATTTAAAAATGGCTTATCATCTGTGGTGCTATAATCCACAAAAACTGACAAATTTCAAAATAACAAGTAAAGAGAATTTTGAATGTTCTAAACACAAAAAAATAATAAATATCTGAAGGAATACATATGCCAATTTCCTCAGATGATCTTTATGAATTCTATGCATGTATTGAAATATCATACTGTACCTCTTAGTATAAAATTATTATCTAATACAAATATTCTTAAAAACCCAACAGATGACCCAAACTGTAGAGACTCAGAAGAGAGACTCAATTATTTCAGAGAAAAAACAAGAATTAATATTTTAAAAATAAATTCTATTTGACCCAACCATTACAGTGATACATGCATACATGTTTACAGCAACACAAGTCATAATGGTCAAATATTGAAAATAGCCTGTTCAGTTGATTTGATAGAGAAAATGTAATATTTCTCCACAGTGGAGCACTGCTCTGCCATAAAGAAACGTAAACCTGAGTCACTTGCAGGAAGATGGATGCATCTTGAAACTATAGTATTAAGGGAAATAAATTAGGCACACAAGCTAAAATATATCAGGATTTCTCTTATATGAGAAATGCAAATTATAAATAAAGAACAAAATAAAATATTAGTATTAGAAAGTAGGAAGGTAGATCTTCAAAGTGGAAGGAATCAAAAGGTGAAGTGAGGGGGAAGGAGAAAATGGAAAAGGATGAAAAGAAATTAAGCCGTGTTACGTGCTTATTTAAACTTTACACAAGAGATGTAAACATGTACCGCAAACATGAACTAATAGAAAGGTTAAAACTGAAAAATAAAACTGTTAACATATTAAAACTATATAAATAGATCAACGTTATTCACTGCATTAACAGAACATTAATACCAAACTTTAAACATCTCATTAGATACACAAAAAGCTCTTGACAAAACTCAATACTTCCCCATGATAAAAACACTCAACAGTGAAAAACTGGAGAAAAACATTCTAAAACCAACAGAAAATGTCTATTGACAACCAATAGTTAATATCATACTCAATAGCAAAGTACTGAATATTTTCATTGTAAGGCCAAATAACAGGGCAAGTATATTCCCTTCAGTAAATTCTATTTAATTGCATATGAGAAATTGTAGCCCATTCAATAAGAAAAAAATATACAATCTCTCAACACACTCAAAAAGGAGTGAGCCTCTACAATATATCAGCCAAAATGTCAACCATATAATTTAAACTTCCCTGTCTGTGTCACCCCCTAATCAATATGAACACTGACATTCTGATAACCAAACTATCATACATGAGTTTCCCACTGTCAGTATAGTCTGTTTTCTTTGCGTAAAGCAGTCTAAAAAGCAGAAAGATATGAAAACCTGTCTTTAAGGGTGACCTAAGTGAACAAAGGAAAACTATGAAATATATAAGCAAACTGCTGTGCCAATCATTGCCTTTTATGTAAATGAACAAGGAGTCTCTGTTTACCTATCAGTAAAACCACTGTGCCACAATTCTGTATCATTTGCTATGCTATACTGTGTCTTAAAGCAACTATAACGAATTCCAGTTCCTGACTTAATCCCATTATCAGTGAATCAGAAATAGAAAAAGGCAATTAACAATTACATTTCTCCCTTAGGCATCCAAGATAAAGACCTCAGGGATTCATTAAATGTTTTCCTTTCTCTAAAAGCCTTTGAGGGTTTTTGGTACAACTGATGCAACAGTGGGAAAACTTCCTCTAACTTGATGTCTAACAGAGCCTATCAAATGATTTGAGGGTTGTCATCAAATGCATTTTAACTATGGCATCTGCAAAGTTGGCATCACTGATAACAAGCTGCAGTAAAAACAAGAAACCGTGCTGAAAGAAATATGGCAATGTTTATTTTGATAATCACTGTCTAAATCCTAATCTTTGCTTAATGAATGAACTGTCTGCTTTAATTAATGGCTAGAACATATCTAATATATAGTACATGTTCATACATTTTTGTGTGTATGTTATTAACATACATTGTAAACTCATAAGTTATGCTTGTACATATTTATACACATTAAATATAAATATCTTCTGACCCCCAAACATATATGTGATATTTTTACATATGTCTCAGAATTTTGGTAAGTCATCAAATGGATCTGGTATGGCCCTTAAGGACTTGTCCTTTACTACACGTTTGAGAAATACAAGCATTAACTCCAGCAAGAAGCAGGAGCCTGGCTTGACAGTTAACATGGGTGCTCACTGGTCTTCCTCTAAACTAGGCTTCCTTCCTGAAAAAGTAAGCAAATGTAATTTCATTTAATAAGAATTGATTAGGAGGATAATTATGTGATATTCAATTAATCTTTAACTTTCACACCATTTAGCCTGGCGCACCTACACCTGCATGCTCTCCGTGCACCCAACACACAGGCCGTCACCCTTGCCAC